CCATATACCCCATAGACCCTAAACCCTATTCCCTAAAGGATGATAAACTGAAGCCCTAAGCTGGAACCTTATAAGACAGCCGCAAGCCATACAAACTCCACTTAGGGGTACCTGGAAATAATTGGTCCCCATTGCTTCAGAGGGTTCGGGTTGAGGGTGCAGGGCCAGAGCTCGATCTCTCTGCAAGGGTAGCAAGGTCAAAACTTAGGGGCTGAGTAGGTAAACTTTAACCTTTTGGGGCTTATATAAGCCTATTATGACTCAAAAGGTTAACCTTTTTTTGGGCTAAGGTACTCGGCCCCTAAGAATGGTAGGTGGATTATGTACTTGGACGAGAGTATGGCTACAGTCGTCAAGCCCACGTGTTCCGAGAACGGAATCACGCCCTGGGTCATTGTCGAAACCAAACCCGTTGAGGTCACGGACAACGACAAAATGATTCCAATGTTTCCACCGCAGGTTCGCAACAAAGTCATGTTCAGTCTGTACAGCGGGTGCCTGATCATCGTCGAGCAGAGAGGGTCGGCGCGAACTCCCGTCGGATGGGGCTTCAGAGTGGCACACCCTAGACCCTAAACCCTAAACCCTGAACCCTAAGCCCTAAACCGGTTCCACATGCTGTCTGAACCGGGCAGCGAATTCTCTATCGTTAGCCCCGAGCACTACGACGACGAGCTCGGGAAGTGCGAAGCTATTGTTGTCCCGGCTGAGAACACGACCCTGAAGCTTTTGGACGCCAACGGTGGCCTCAGGTCAAAGACTGGGTTCGATCTTTTTCCTCGTTGAGCCCCCGTATTTGAACCAAATAGTGGGAAAGGGGTACCCTTATAGGGCTTAGGGTTTAGGTTTTCGGAGGAACCCTTGAAAAGGGATGTTATTCAGGGTTCAGGTAGGCTTTAGGGTTCAGAACCCCAAAACCCCAAACCCTAAACTCCCTTAACCACAAGCCCCCAACCGCATCAGAACCCGTCACAGAAGCCCGGCAGCCGAAGCACTAAGTCCACAACCCCAAGACCCAAATCCCTAACGAGCTAGTAAAGCCTAGAGACCCTGAATCCTGTAATTAGACTCTAACCCTAAAGCCCTGAACCCCTAAGCCCAAACCCAAAACGCTCGATGTTCCCCAAATATACCAAAATATACCTTACGACAGACAAAAGCTGTGACATAGGAGACTAGTGACTATAAGCATGTAAACCCTGAACCCTAAATCCTACACCCTAGCCCTCCAGGTACCAACTATATAGTAATAGGGTACTAGAGCCTCTAGGGCCCTATATAGTAGGTACCTGGAGGGATAGTGTAAACCCTAAACCGGAAGGCTCCGTGACCTCAAAACCCTAAACCCTAAACCGAAAGGTTCCGTGACCTCATATTCGATTCCTCCGGGTCCAACGCCTCGTGGCTGCGACGGCGGATTGAGCTCGCCAAGCGAAGAGGCTTCCACGGGCTTAGGGTTTTAGGGTTTAGGGTTTAAGCATTAATTATAGGGCTTTAGGACTTCAGGGTTGCGGGCTTTAGGGATTAATTCGGGCTTTAGGGCTTTAGGGTTTGCGGGTTGCGAGCTTTAGGGATTGACTAGGGCTTTAAGGCTTTAGGGTTGCGGGCTTTAGGGATTAATAGGGGTTAGCGTTTTGGTCTTTCGGGTTCCACGGTGCAGGCCTTTCGATTTAAGTGGCTCACGTGGGTAGTACTTTGAATTAGGGTCCCTTTTGGGGGTCCCTTTTATAAGGGTGCCATACTCTATTGGGGACCCAAAAAGTGACCCCAATGTAGAGAACTGAGACCCTAAACCCCAGATCCTAAACCCTAAACCCCAATTTAGAGAACTGCCCATGTGGGGGTTTAGGGATTTGGGGCTTTGGGCTTCCACCGGAGAGGCTCCAGGGTTTCCTTCAACTTCCCACAGGCGGCCCCGACTTTTTTCTAGGAGCCCTAGAACTCCTAAAAGGGGGTTTAGGGTTTAGGAGTTTAGGAGTTTAGAAGTTTAGGGGTTTAGGGGTTTAGGGTTTAGGGTTTAGGGTTTTCCTGGGACTCCAATCACCTACAGTTTTCATGGTTTCTACCTGCTGATTTTTCGGGTAATGGCTGCTAAACTGTAGGTAAAGAGAGTGACAGGTACAACGCCTACAACCAAGTACTTGCAGGCTTTGGCAGTTTCAAGCAGGGCTTCTGGGGCCTAGGGTTTTGGCACCGAAAGCCTAAACCGTGGAGTGCTTGGGTTTCGGGTTTAGGGGTTCAGGGTTTAGGGGTTAATAGGGTTTAGGGTTTATAGGGGGCAAAATCTGTTTCTTTTGTCAGGACGATGGAGTTGGGTGCTTAGCATTCAGGATAGTATGGGAACCTGATTCAGAAACTCTCGGGTGTTTTGTATATTCTTAGGAGGGTTGTTTAGTTGAGCCTTGTAATACTTCAGTGGCTATAGAACTCAGGGTCTCTGAATCAGGTTCCCCCAGTCTACCGGAGCTGTCAGGCATCACAGAGCAGCGCAGAACGGACCTCTGGAAAACGGGAGGTTGAGGTGTGTCAAGGTTTAGGCTTAACCATTTAGAACCCTTGGGTTAAGTTAGGGCTCAGGATTTGGGGTGGGCGATTTCGTGTAGAAAGGGGCACATGTTTAAAACAAAATTCAGTTTATCCAGCATTTGGTGTCGGGTTCATCCTGGTTGGGGTGTAGGGATTGGGTTCCGGGGGTCAGGCTTTGGGAACCAGTACATCACGAATCCTGAATACACCCGAATCGCTCCACAACGTCTTACGCCTTACGCCGAAAACTACACGAAAACTCAAACATCTTCCTAAATTCTATGTTCTGCTTGACTAAGCATTCAGCTCTGAAGCCATGCGCGTGCGTGTTTGGGCATTAGTAGCATCTCGGTGCTTTCTTTGGATATTCCAAAGCCTCTAGGAGTTCAAGGGGCATCAACTCATACAAGACCAGCATCACGCATTATGTAGCCTAGTCATGTACAAACCCAGTGGGATTAATCACATACTATATTCGCATATATATATATATGTGCACGCATATGTATATGTGTATGTATATATATATATATGATCGAACAAACAAAGGCCTGCATTCCCAGCCAGGGTGTTTGACAGTTTTCAGATAAAAAAAGCTTGATCCACTCATTACACAGGAAACCCCTGGAAAACAAGGGTTCAAATCACCGATTTTGCCGGCAGAACCAAACTCAGCCCTAGAGGGAACTGTGGTTTATGGCCCAAGGTTCAGCTGCCCAGGCTTCATAAAGTGAGAAGAAGGCTGTGTATCTCAAAGCGAAGTGAGATTCAGAGGAGAAGAAGAAAGACAGCAACAATGCCACTGCTGCCGCCGCTGCTGCTGATGAGGATGATGGTGATGACGATGTTTATCATTCCCATGACTACGACCGACTGTTTTCGTTTCGTATGATAGTACAGACAGTACTGCTTCATCGGCATGTAAGAACACTTGCTTTCGAGCAATCCCACAACTCCAAAACATTTAGACAGTGTTAGTACTCCTTACCAATAAGTAGTAGCCTCGTTGCAGTGCCCCTGATCGTGCCCTTACCCTAAGGGTCAAAGCACCTAATATAATCATATACCCTCCCAAGTATTAGCCCAGATAACTACTACCCGCAACCAACGTACCTTCTTATTGGGTCCTTTGGACCCTTACCCATAGACCCCTGACTAGTTCCTTTTGGGGATTACCTTATAGGATTCTAAATATGAACCACAAAAAGGAACTACTTGGGGGGCCTATGGGTAGGGTTATGATACAAAGATGATTCGCCAGGCTTCTTCACCGAGCTTCTTTGGGTGGATGTTCCATTCGAGGCATGGGGGTTGGTGCCTTCGCGACTTTCGGATTTAGGACTTAGGGTTTCAGGGACATGGGGTTCAGGGTGTAGGGTTGAGGTGTAGGTTTTTAAGAGTTTGAGGGATTTAGGATGATTTAGGGTTGAGGGATCCTGGGTTTAGGGATTCTATTTAGGGCTTTAGGTTCGGGGTCCAGCGTTCCGGGGGTTTTAGGATGTCCACATTATGATGCTTGAGGTTAAGACGCCCTGGTTCTGTTAACCTTGGATAGCTCTCAGATCATTAAATGTGTGAATAAAGTGCGAAAAAAGTGTACGGGAGAGTGTAAATAAAGTGTAAATAAAGTGTAAATAAAGTGCAAAAAAAGTGTAAAGAAAGTGCGAGGGTAGCTAGCAGAAGTGTGAAATAAGTGTAAAAAAAGTGCGAAAAAAGTGTAAATAAAGTGTAAATAAAAGTGTATTAAATAATGTGTAAAGTGAAAATACCTACAGGACAGCATGCGTATATAAGACTAGTTACTGGATAATAGTAGAATAGAAGAGGAGGAACAAGTACAGCCGCGGGCGTCCACAGTATAGGGAATAGTACCATTGGAATATCGTCAGACCTTGTTTCTGCAGAGTCCTCATCGTTAGCGCACAGGGGGCTATTCCTAACCCAAAACCCTAGGCCCTAAAGCCTAAAAGACCCTAAACCCATTCGATCGTTCGACGTGTTGGCAGGGAAGCTCATCTGCAGCATTTGCTGCCCAGGCCTTTTGTTTTTTTGTCGGAGGGCATGGATGACTCGTGGCTTCTGGCTATCCAAGCCGAGTGCGACGCTGCAGCTCTGACTGCAGAGCACACGGCGGTGGCAGAGGCCTGCAGGAGTCCGTCTGACGATGAAAGTGACTATCTTGTCAGGGACCCTTTGAAGACTTGGTACTGGCTTCCCTTGCTGAGACAGCATCTGGGCACACGGGTGCAGAAGAAGCAATCAAGCCAGATCAAACTTCTAAGTTCGTGCACTGGTAGTTTCGCAGAAGCTGAAGTGCTGGAGGTGTCTAGCTTGCATTGGCTAGGTATACATCTTCATGGCTTCTGATTCAGTGTAGGATCGGATAGGAGGCCATGTGATTATTTGTTTGGTGTTAGATGGTTAGAGTCGTTAGAGCTTTGGTGTGCATTCGTCAATGTAGGGGCTCGGCCCAGGCACTGGAGATTCCTTTTGTGCCAGTCGGAGCAGCCGACATCAATGATCGCTTCCGTGCATACGTGCGGTGCACCGTGCGCGAGCCAGTCAGTCATTTTCATGCAAGTATGGAGGATCAGGTGAGTGGGGTGTGTTGCACACTTCATCGTGGGCAGGCTGGCTGTATAGGCGAGCCAGCTGGTGTAGTAGATATTGCAGTGGCAGGCAGCCCGTGCCCACCTTTCAGCATGCAGCGTTCCAAGCGGTACTTGGATGGGAGTGTGGAGCAGCATCCACTTTACTATGTCACAGATGACATCCTTCCCAGATGGCTAGTGCGCTTCGAACCGAAATTCGCTGTTTTGGAGCAGGTTATGGGGTTTGACCGGCCCACAGAAGCTGGACAATCGGTGACTCCGTTGCAGAGGCCACTGATGTTCCGTTCATGTAGCAGCCTGATGCTGTGCTGCTGCTTTCCAATTCCAGTCTCTGTCCTTTGAAGTGTTATGCGCAAAGCCTTGGTGTGACTTATAAAGTCTTAAAGTCGAGATCGAAATCTTCAGTGGTCTCAAGACATGATGTCCGTTTCCACGCAAGCTCTGGAGAGCAAAGTAGAAGCGGCAGGAGTTCAGAGGTAATGGTAGGCTGGTACTAATACTAAAGATTCCAGTTTTCTGTTGAGCCAGCAGGTTCTTGAATCGGCTGACGCAGCTGAGCTTTCAGAAGGGCGGCTACTGGCACACCGTCTACCCGCTGGACAACTGCTGGTGGAACAGCGTCTCGCGTCCCAGGTGCGCCCAGCAGTAGCCCAGTAGCTCAACATCATGTCTGACATGTTCTCGACAGCTTGGGATCATTGGGATCACCGTTGAGTGTTCGAGGCAAGCATTTGGTACTAGAGAGTTGTTGTTGTTTTGTGTAGAAGAATAGTGTAGAGTCGTTCCTGTCGATTCTGCCTGGTTGCACTACTTAGGATGCGGAAATTCGATAAGGAGTCGGTGTGCCCAGTCCATGTGCAGATTCGAACAATCATGTCGGTCTGGTTTGCGAACACAGTATCACAAGCAGCCACTGTGTGTTGCCGTGCGTTTTCCTTGGATGTATGATGTGATCTGCAGCTGCTCGCGTGGTTATGGCTTCAAACTAGGACCTGTAAATCTGGGCATGGAGAGGAGCCATGCACCCTGGTGCTGCAGGGTCGGGTGACAGGAATGTTCGGCCGCGGCTGGGGCGGCCGCGCGGAAGCGTGGCTTTACATGCTTTTCTACTCCAAGCAGGGGCACCGCCTCAGAGGGGACCGGCACCTGGGAGCATAGAGCATGCTCGTTTGCAGCGTGTCCAGAACAGGGCCCCGCGGCAGGAAGCTGTAGAGGACGAGGATGCTGGGCTGTATGCCATGGAGCACCGGGCACCGGGTCTCCAAATACAGACTTGTGCCAGGCACAGGTAGCTCTGCACATCAGGTCTGTGTGTCAAAGCTGGACGCTTGGTCGGCTAATGCAAGACAGCCATCGGCAGCGGATGGCATTTACAGTCAGCTTCTCAGCCCGAGCAAGACCATTAATATGAGCTTCTCGGCTTTGCGTGACTGCACGGGGCAATCCCGACAGACGGTGACTAGATCTGTGGAACGTTCAGCTGCTGCTTTGCAGATTGCTTCTGATTTAGCCTGGGGAAGCCTCTTGAGTGGTGTAGCCGAGACACTGGGGACATCGGCCAACGTTCGGGGCAAGCTCTTTCTAACGCATTGCCGCGACGATGAAACTCCTTCCAAGATCCGTGTGGACAATCAAGGCAACGTCGTTGGCAATGCGGCTGCCGGTCTTGCGGACCCGAATTCCACAGTGGACAGTTGCGTGGCAAAGGTGTTTCAGATCGAGTTCGGCCTCACCATGGTTTTCCAGAGGCTGGATAACAGTGCCGTTTGCGTGCTTACTGGGTCCATGTCACGAATGCTGGCCGTGGCAGAAACCACATCTGCAGCCAACATCCAGAAAGTGCTTGAAGCTCGCTGTGATCTACCGCATCTGCAGAAAGCAGCTCGCCACTTCCCATGGCGTGTCCGCTGTGTTTGTACAGACAGATACGCAGCAAACTTTGCTGCTGAGGAGAAGATGCAGGCGAAGGCACGCTTGCAGCATGTGCCCTACACGAGGGACCACACGGCTTGCGAGATGCATATGGTCGCTACGGCACAGAGCAAAGCTTTCTCTCTTCCAGAGCTTGACGTGCTGGTGAAAGGATTGATTGCGTGTGGTCTGACGATGACAGGATCCCGTGCCAAGCAGAAGCTGCGGAACTGTCTATTCCAGGTCTTCGAGGATCAGTTAGCTCTTTCGCCTGGTGATGCTCCTGGCGGCAGCATTGCTGTATTCCGGGAGGCCCTCTACGAACAGTTCCTGCCACTTTACCCTCACGCCACACTGCCGAATGTGTGTGGCTTGCTTCGTATAGTCCTAGCCGAGTAGCCATAGCTGTCATGGCAGGAGTCCAATGGTATCGATTCTGGTGACCCTAGTGATTCTAGTCAGTCCTGTTTCTCAAACTAACCGTAACTAACCCAACCTCTCAAACTCATCGAACTTCTCAAACTCACCAAACTCTTCTTTCTGTAGTGTCTCTGTGTCGGGCCCTCGCACGGTCGAGGCAAATAGTGCAGGGCGTTGGTGGGCCTTTTTGGGTTTTTTTTGGAGTCACTGATGTCAAGCATTGAATGTTGTAAATGTGCTGGTCTCGACCCGTAACTATAGTATCTACACCGACATTTTCTTAGGTTTTTAGTTGGTGGTACCCTCACCACGCAGATGCAGCTACCTGCAGCAGTGGCTAGCAGCTAGCAGGAAGCACTCTCTCACAGTAGCTCCAGCAGCTGCAGCTCTGTGACAGTAGCTCTGTCTGTCCTGGCTTGTCACGTCTTTCGTTGGTGAGAGTAATCCGATTCGAGGTCGCATGCATTGGCAGCACAGTCGGCAGCGCTTGGTTCTTGCACGCTTTCTCAATGGTGACTTGACACAAGCACACGTCAATGTACATTCTCCCTACATATACGTGGCTGATGCTGCGGCTCGGGCGTCTGTCCTACAGGAGATCCGGCGATGGGTTCTACCAGCTCTCGTCCCACGGTGCTGTCCACTCTTTTCTCGTTCCAGATGGAACGGAGCGGATGATGCTGTGCAGTGGCTCGGACTGCTGGCGGGACACCACAGGGGTGTCTTGCTGAGAGGCATGATCTTCAAGTTTGTCGACCAGCCGCCACCTAGACCACCACCAACGCGCAATCTCGATGACGACTGGTTGCTTGCTGTGGCCAGCGAAGTGGCTGCTCCTGTGCAGGAGGACGCTGCTGAAGCATTGCCAGAGGAGGATCCCGGAGCGGATGACGCTCCTGCCATGGACGGTGCTGAGGACGCCGATGAATTTCATAGAAGGAACAAGCAGTACAGACGCAAGGCCGCCGCCTTAGTGGCCAGAGACATCTTTTCAGATGTGGTCAGCCTCGGCGTCGCAACCCAGCACTTGCAGCAGCTGCGACGTCGTCTCTTCGCCAGAGCTCGTGTCATCTGGAGACAGGAGAAATACCAGCAGGTGCTGCACGGCCAGCCACGCCATGGCTGCAGCAAGCTTCTTGAGGTCATGGAGAGCAAAGACATTGCAGAGTTCAACGAGGCCCTCTTTGGCAGCTTGGAGCAGCCTTGTGCACTGCTTCGTGAGCCCTTCAACACGCAGGCAGGCCGCTCGCTGCTTTTCCGCAGTGAGGCTCGAGCTGGCGCGACTGTGCACCAGCTCCTGGTTATGCGCAGGCGGGGCTTTCCTTTGGACCTCTTCCGGTTGCTCCTGAACCCTACCTTGGACGCGGCAGCAGCACTGCTGCGTTCCGGACTGCGAAGTGCTTGCTGGATGAGTTCAGCCACGACTTCCTGCAGCGTTACTCTGAGCCCGAGACGCTAGTCAGCACAGAAGCTCTTGCCATTTTGGCTGCCATCGCTGCTCGCAGAGAGTACGACATTTGTGCAATCGAATGCAGGCATGCAGCTTGTCGGCGGATCAAGGGGATTACTTCCCAAACTTGGGAGAAGTCCCTGCACCATGTCAGTGCAGCTTGGACCATTGCGCAGCACAAGTTGGGAAGCCAAGGAACGCTTGGGTCTCGGAAGCCAGCTCCGCGCACCAGAGCGGAAGGGTCCGTGCCAACTGCAGAGTCCGAGGCGGCCCAGCAGGCCAAGAAACAGAGAAGAGGTAGTGCGTGGACAGCCTTTGTGCACGAGAAGACGAAGGGTCGCAATCGCCAAGGCCGTTATTTTGAGGGCATGTCCACAGTCAAGGATGAGTATCGAGCTCTTTCAGCCGAGGAGAGAGCTCGTTACCAGAGCATCGCAGATACAGCTTCTGCCGCTGTGGGCTTGAGTGCTCCGGGCTTCCGGGAAACTGCGGAAGAGAGAGCCCGGCGACGCAGAGGCCGCTTGGAGGCAGAGGCAGCTCTTCCGCCTGCCCTCGAAGCCGGCGACGCTCTGCAGCCCGGGATCAATTCCCTGGCCTTTGGCTTGCCGCGTGAACTCGCACGTCAAAAGACGGCCCGTTTGTTGGCAGCCAAGGATGCCCGCGAGCAAGCACGACGGATGCGAGCTGATTTGGAGGCATTTGCCCGCGATCATCCGGCACCTGTAGAGCCAGAGCTAGCCGAGGCGGACATGCTGCAGGCATCCAGCACGTCCCTCCCCGAGATGTTGCAGACCGCCGAGTTCTGTCCCCCGACCCTGGACATGGCGCAGGCTTGCGGGAGCTGACAGTATACTATACTGCATTGATTTTTTTCAAGCATAAATTTCGATTCTATAAATGTCGGTTAGATTCGGTTAGATGTCGCACCGGAAAGGCAGTCTGCCTGATGGTCCCTCTTCTGCTAGGTCTTGTTGCATCCTCCGACACCGAAGACCGGCCTCCTATCCTTGCTGGCACACTGGTGGCGAGAGCAGCACTCTGTCTTCTTGGAGCCGGGGCAAGAAGCGGGCCAAGATGATTCTGCCGGTTTCAAGCAGAAGCTCTGCTGCACTCTTTCCCTCTGCATTTGCTCCGGAACGGGGCAAATGGCTTCGTGGATGCATGACAATGTCAAGAAGCTTCTGCGCCCGTTGCTGCGGACCAAACAGAAAGTGAAGCCACCTGGCCGGATCCTTGTCGACGAGGCCAAGCTCGTGCTGAAGCTTACTGCCGCTGCCACGGCATCTGCTGCCGAGGCCAGTGTGGATCCCTTCGCAATGGAACAGTACATCGAGCCGCCAGAGGACCTGTACTTTCACCTGGCTTACATCAATCTGTCGACTTACCACGCCACGCTGCTACAGCTCAAGCCGGTGGAACCCGCGAGCTCTACCCTGAGCGTGTTGCCGCGTCCGGAGTTCCAGATGGACACCGCCGCCTGGGCGAAACACATCAACTTCCAGTGGCGCTGGCGCTTGGAGTTTCTAGTCATTCAGGGTTCGCGGCCCCACGTCAGCATATCATGCAGGGCTTTAGCAACCAAACTACCAGCGAGCCGGCGTGGCATCAGCTACGGGGCTCCGGCCTTCTTACTATCATGTACAAGTCGTAGTGTGTCTCCCTTATGTCGTTCTCTGTGTAATCAAATCTAGCAGTCTAGCAGATCTAGCAGAATCTAGCATCTAGGAAAGCCTCTAAGGGTTGCTCCTGCGGTTGTGCGGCAGCATTTGCAAGGAACAGACTGCTGACAGAGCCGCAGAGGCCTGCCAAGTTTGTTGACGTGCAGCAGTGGACCGAAGCGGATGCTGTCTGGTGCTGGCAAGGCGATGAGGAGGAAGACTCTCGTCGACGACATAACCGCAGCCGCCCATCTGGCAGGCCTCGGCGTCAGCAAGCTCCTCGTCCTCGCAACCCACGGCCCCCTGGCGGACCAGGTCAACGTCGCCGTCGGAGAGCATTGCCTGCATCCACTGCAGCCGACGCCGAAGAAGTCAGTGACGGCAACGAAGCTGAGGATGAAGCGGAAGTGGCCGAGGCGGCTTTGGCTCTTTGCGGTGCCGAGACATCGGACTCCGAGGAATCCCTGCCGTTCCGCTCATGTCATGTCATAGTGAGTTGTAGACATTGTATTCTCGATACTTCTTCGCAATGGTTCTACTGTCCTTGGAGTCTTCGTTCTTCCATAGGGATTGCAATGTCAGTCTGCCCACACCGCAACAGCACGGATTCATTGTGGACTGGTGCCGAGAGTCTACACTGTCTCGACTTTATGTGTAGTCCCTCAGATTGTATTCTCGCTCTATGCTACGACTACGATAGGTCTTCGCAATGGTTCTACTGTCCTTTCACTCTTCGTTCTTCCATAGGGATTGCAATGTCAGTCTTCCCACACCGCAACAGCACGGATTCATTGTGGACTGGTGCCGAGAGTCTACACTGTCTAGACTCCATGTAGACCCTACAATTGAAATCCGATGACCCATGCTCGTCTAGCGTCTCCCTGCCTTCCCTCCACATGGCTGTTTGTGACATTTGGTGAAAATTGCTACATGAACTTAAGAAGCAGCCTTCATGCCACTTCTTGCGCAAGGACGCCTCTGATCCCGGCGAAGCGGACCTCGAAGCAGCCGGCGCTGCGTTGGAGGAGGAACTGCTGCAGGGTCTCGACGACGACCTTCCCCCGGCGCATGCGGAGGCGGAGCACGAGGACGGATCGTCTCCTGCGGAGACGGAGGAATCCGCAAGAGACGATGCAGATGCGACTGTGGCGAGCTTCCACACAGAGGACGCCAGCATTAGCAGCTTCAGTCCTGATTCGGATGCCTCCGATGTAAATTCTGGCAGCAGCTTGGCATCGGGCAGCAGGAGCTCCGGGAGCTCCGACAGCAGCAGCAGCAGCAGCAGCAGCAGCAGGCACGGCGGGGATGCGCCTGCACCTGCGCTGCGCGCTCCGGTGTTGAATCGCAGAGAAGGAGTGCCTGAGCTTCGCTTTGACTTAGGCGAACTCGGAGACTTGCGCTACAATACGGTCATGAACTATTATCGGGCAAAGTGCCGACGCCATCAATGCGAGAGACAGCGAACGGCCGCCACCTCCGAATACGCCTACGAAGTTCTTTGCGGCCCGCGACGTGCACACAGGGCAGAGTGAGTTCGCCGGCACAGGGGCGCAGAGCTCAGTCAAGAGCATGAAGGAGCAGGGCGTCCTCACTTACCGTGACATGGGCCTCCTCACGGAAGCTGAGTTCAGGGATGTGCTGCGTGTCGCCCCTAGTGTGGCGGCCGTGAAGGCGGTCACCTGGGTGAACGAAGAGGGCCAATCCATGAGCGGTTACTTGGTGAGCTTGATGGGTTGCCCCTGCGAGATCGTTCACGGCATCCGCAAGGCGCGAATCTACAGCCGACTCCAGATTTCCT